TCCAGATATAGGTCCAGGTATAGGTCCAGATATAGGTCCAGGTCCAGGTCCAGGTCCTGGTATAGGTCCAGATATAGGTCCAGGTCCAGATATAGGTCCAGGTCCAGATATAGGTCCAGATATAGGTCCAGATATAGGTCCAGATATAGGTCCAGATATAGGTCCAGGTCCAGATATAGGTCCAGGTCCAGGTCCAGGTATAGGTCCAGATATAGGTATAGGTCCAGATATAGGTATAGGTCCAGATATAGGTCCAGGTCCAGATATTGGTCCAGATTAATTTTATTATTATTATTGTACAAATTATTGCTTTTTTAAAACCAGACATTTCAGGGCACCGAGCCTTCAACCATGTTTGACATGTTCCTCGTCCTTCCACAACGTTTGTAGCGTGTGAGTGGCTGAGGGCGGCTCTGAGCTGCTGTCCACGCTCTCAGACCTCCGCAGCTCTCACCGTGTGTGCTTTGATGAAGTGCCGAGGCACCTTAAATAATTAGTGAACACTTCCAGAGGGAAACTCAAACTCTAAATTATCTTTTCATTCTGATCCATTAAAAGATGCATTCGACACAGGCCTGTGGTCCAGAATGAAAGTATTCCTGAATGCATGCATGAAGGGATGACGGCAACAGACCACGTGACCGTCTTTGAAACGAACAGCACAGAAGATACATTTATTTCACATGAGACCAGTGTTGCTGTTTGTAGAATAAAAATGAGCAATGTTCATGTCTCCTTCATCACAGTCCTTTGCAAAAGAGGCAAAAACAGTTTCAATGCTAACATTTGTGAGAACGGGACGTCTTCGGACCAGAACCGAGAACATTTAGAGCTCCACGACATCCATCCATCATGTTTTCCCGCTTCAATGTGCTCGTTATCTTTACAGGCACGTGTAGGTGGGGCCACCAGGCTTTCTAAGCTTCCTCTGGCCAAAACAATCTCCACCTGGATGTAGCTCATCAAACGGGTCTGAGCCGGTTGGATCATCACTGCACGGACGATCATCTTTCAGCTGCAACAAGTTCTTTAACTCCAATGAGTTGCTTCTCATTTCTTCAACAACATGATGAAAGACTCATGGTGGTCGTGGAGAAGATGTCCGTCTGTTGGAGAAGAGTCAAATCATTGGCATCAAGCAGAGGAAACATCTCAGGAGATTGTAGAAACTAGAACTGGGTTAAGAACTGTCCAACACATTATTAAAAACTGGAAGGACAGTGGGGACTCATCGTCTTCCAGGAAGAAATGTGGCTGGAAAACAATCCTGAATGATCATGATCATTTAAACGTTTGGTTAAATCAAATGGAAGAAGAACACCAGCAGCACTCAGGGCTGTGGTTCATAGAGACAGGAAGAACATTTCTACACACACAATGTGAAGGAACTCAAGAACAGCTGTAGCCTTAAGAAAACCACTAACCAGTGCAGTGGCGGTCCTAGCCCATTTGGCGCCCGGGGTGAGCAAACCCAACGGCGCCCCCCTCCCACCAAATAAAACTTTTGTTGCAGCCTTCTGCATTAGAGTAATTATGGCAGGCTAACACAGTTTTTCTCAACTAATGTGATTAAGGGACTGTTAAACTGACATAGCAAATGTCTAAAACAACTAAGCCTTCTTTTTTTTTACCCAAGCCTACATATATTTCCAATTTATGAAATTCATAGTAGGAGAACTTATTGTTGGTGTGCACAGAAAGCTCAGGACTGACTGCACGAGACAGTATAAATTCAAATAAGCAATCAAACTGTTTTTTTATTAAAATAGAAAATGTATATATTTAATAATGAGTCTGTCTTTGTTTAGGAGCATTAATCAAAGTACTTCATTATAAAAGCACATTTTTTTGTGTGACAGCCAGGGTTCTGTATTATAACACAATCTCTGCCATTTCTAACTAAGCAAACCGTGCGAACATCCATCTTCCTCGGTTCATCACTCAGTACAAACTGGGACGGAGAGGGATCCATCTTAGATGAAACATGAGCGCCTCCAATGGGCCGTCAGTCTTCGGGTTCCAGTCATCCAGAGTACATCACAAAATCATTGCCTTTAGAAATTATAGTGGCCCATTATTACTTTGTTGTTTGTTTAGTTTAAGAAGAATGTTGATCTTCTGTTATGCCGCCCCCTGCTGGAGGCCGCCCATGTCGCCCATATAAGGAACCGCCACTGAACCAGTGAGACTAACAGAAAAAAGGCTTCAATTTGCTAGGGAGTATAAAGATCGGACTGTGGAGCAATGGAAGAAGGTCATATGGTCTGATGAGTCCAGGTTGACCCTGCTCCAGAGTGATGGTGCATCAGGGTCAGAAGAGAGGCAGGTGAAGCGATGCACCATCATGACCAGTGTCTCGTCATCAATGAAAGATGTTGATGAAACATTAATGCAACACATTTTTTATTTGCTTGTTCTTGTTAACAAAAAGAAGAGTTCTTATAAATGTCTAAACCTGTGGGGAAAAAGACAATAATAAAAAATATGCTGCATCAAACCTGCACCCTGGTGTGGGGGGCATTGGTTTTGGACCAGTTGTCCCTATTAAGGGGACTAGAAGTACTCAACAATATTAGCCAAATATAAAGTGTAAAAGGAAACAGTATATAAGGATCTAAAATATATGTACACTAAACACTAATAATGTAAAACAATACGGCGTAACAACAGCAGCCTGAATGAGTCTGTGGTGAATGATGGGTACCAAGGTCAAGACCAAGGTCAAGGTTTCTTTATTGTCATTCTCATCATATGTGGTACATGTGGTGGAACGAAATTGTGTACACGGGGTCCCAGTTACATCCAGTAAAAGTATAAATTGTAAAGAAAAACAGAAATAACATCTAAGATATGAACTAAGAAATATGCTAAACCATTTCAAGAGTTGGGGGTTTGAATCCACCAGCAGTCACATGCCGAAGCGTCGCTGGGCAAGACACTGAACCCCTCACTGCCTCTGATGTGTGTCCCATCAGTGTATGAATGTGATGAAGCTCTGACTAGTCTCTTTAGAATGATTTGTTCAATTATCTTTGTAGATATCTAGTATAGAGCTGTATGAATGGGTAAATGAGGACACAGATTGTAGTAAAAAGCTTTGAGTGTCTTGATACGATAGAAAAGCGCTATACAAGTACAGTCCGTTAGGGATTCATGAGTCTAACAGCTTCAGGGTAGAAGCTGTTCCTCAGTCTATTTGTTCTACACTTCAACCTCAACCTCTTGCCTGAGGGGAGTGTGACAAAAAGTGTGTGTGCTGGGTGAGTGGGGTCCTTCGTGATGCAGTTGGCCCTCTTCCTGCATCTAGAGGTGTAGATGTCTGTGATTCAATTCAGTTTATGTATAAAGCATCAAATCACAACAAAGTTGTCTCAGGGACTTTACAGGAACATTCACATAAAAGCCAGTTAGTAAAGTTCTCTATCTAAGGAATCCAGCAGACAAGATGAATCTTGGCTTCGTTGCAGTCTCCCATCCTGAGCAAGCACAGTGGAGACAGTGGAAAGAAAAACTCCCTTTAACAGGAAGAAACCTCCAGTAGAACCAGCTCAGGACAAGAGACCATCTGCTTTGACCGGCTGGTTGAGAGGACAGGAAGGAGAGACAGACGAACACAGAATGGTAGGTCCAGGTATAGGTCCAGGTCCAGATATAGGTCCAGGTCCAGATATAGGTCCAGGTCCAGATATTGGTCCAGGTGAACTTGAAAGACAAAATAAACACATGCTGTTTAAAGACTTGACCTAACGAAAGCATATATAAAGTAAAGAGTAATGGTGCAAGGGCTCAGTGCTTTGTGAGGATTAATCCTCCTGAAGGTACTCCTTACTTCAGCTGAGATCACACTGAGAAACTTCTCTTCCAGTGTCCTGATGCATGCTCAATAATCCATCCATTATCTTTACCCGCTTCTTCCATTTTGGGTCACGGGAATCGCCGGTGCCCATGTCCAGCAATCACTGTGCGAGGGGCGGGGTACACCCTGGACATGTCTCCAGTCCATCACAGGGACACATAGAGACAAACGAGACAAACAACCATTCAGTCTCTCACTCACACCTAGGGACAATTTAGAGTTACCAATCAGCCTAACATGCATGTTTTTGGTCTGTGGGAGGAAACTGGAGCACCCGGAGAAAACCCACGCATGCACGGAGAGAACATGCAAACTCCACCCAGAAAGGCCCCTGGACCGGGATTTGAACCAAGGACCTGCTCGCTGAGAGGCAGCAGCTCTACCAGTTGCGCCACCGTGCTGCTCTCAATATCCAACATCTGCAGGGTTCTTGTAGGAGCGTTCATGTAAATAATGTCACCGTGATCAATGGAGGGAAGGAAAGTCACAGATACAAGGTGTTCCTCAGGGTTTAGAGTTAGACAGGATCTGTTTCTGAAAAAGAAACCCAGTTTAACTTTCAGTTTCTTTATCAACCAGCTGATCACATGATCAAGAAGGACCATCAGCCTAACAATGGATCATTAGCACCTGATGGCTGTTTACTGTTCACAGAGGGCTGAGTGATACTAGCAATCACAGCATTGTAAGAGGGGGACAGTTGAACCCGGAGGCTCCACCCCTGTTTAATGATGGACGGTTTCTTTTCCGATCCTCTTCCAGTGGTGAGGTGAGTCAGGGCTAGTGCTGTTTCTGTTCTATGATAAGCTCTAAACCCTGATTGAAACTTTTTAAACAGATTATTTCTGTGTAGATGTTAACACAACTGACCTGCAACTATTTTCTCTAGAATTTTTTAGATGAAACTTACTGTAGATTAGATATAGGTCTATAGTTAGTCAGAATTTCTGATCAAGGTCAGACTTCTTGAGTAAAGTTTTAATTACAGCAACCTTAAAGTGTTGTGTAACCATTCATTAAAGACAAATTAAGTAGATCCAAAACATGGAAATTAATCCAGGGAAACACCTCCCTAAACAGTCTGGTTGAGATGGGATCTAGCAGACATGTGGATGATTTGTTGAAGCCACCATTTTTGACAATTCAGAGAACTCAACGGGACACAAACAGTCCAAACACACACCAGGCTCCAATAGTATATCTAAAGCTGCATCCTCTGACATGGGACCAGGGGTAGTAGAAGGAATAACGGTTTGAATTTTCTCTGTAATCGAAATAATTTTATTTATAAAGAATTTCATGAAAGCATCACTGCTTATAGTTGTAGGGATACATGGTTCAACAAAGATGGGACTTTTAATTAGTCTAGCTATAGTACTAACAGAAACCTATAGTTATTTTCATTCTCATTGATTAAGGATGAGTAATATAAAGTTCTAGCTTTACGGAGAACTTTCATATATGCTAGCAGACTATCTTTACAAGTTGAATAAAATTTGTCAACGTTAGTGGAGCATCATTTTCTCTCCTTGTTTCCAGATGCTGCTTTAAAGTACAAAACTCAGAATTGAACCAAGGAGCCAGTGATGGTGGGGAGACTGACTCCAACATCTTCTGTGCAGCCTTCACCACTCTCTGCAAAGCTTTTCTTTCTGCAGCTGTGCAGCCTCCATGCCACACGTTGATGCTGGAGCACAGGATGCTCTCCACTGCACCTGTAGAAGGAGGTGAGGACTGAGCTTCCAGACCAGCTCGTCTCAGCCGCCTGAGGAAGTAGAGTCTCTGATGAGCTTTCTTCATCAGGCTGGTGGTGTTACCCCAGCTGTTTTATGACTCGGGAAACCCAGAGTAGTATTCATTCATTCAACCTTTATTTAGACAGGTAAATCCCATTGAGCCTTGAGGACTCATTAGACCTGGAACAAGACAGACTCAGGTTAGTACAAAAGTGACAGTGTTAATTATTTACAATGAAGAATATATACAGTTGTTTCTCTGCAGCTCCTGGGGAAAGGAAGGAGATGATCAGAGGAGGTCGGCAGGATGGAACAGGCAATGTTGAGTCTCATGATGTTTCTCTCTTACAGGTTTGAGGATGAGTTTGGGTCCAACTCCAAATCCAGAGGAGAGCTCCAGAGGGTGAGAAGGTCAAAAGTCAGGCAGGACAGGGAAGGCTGGCAACTGGTGGCAGGCAAGGCACGAGGAGGATCAAGACAAGACCGAGAAGACCAGGACAGGATCGAGGGAACCAGGTCCAAGAAGACTGGATAACTGAAGACATGAAAACTGGTAAGTAGATTTACGAGTAGTGAATATATAGGTCGGAGGCACAAAGACCGTTGTTGGCTAATGCTCCAGCGAAGAGTAGCACTGGACTGCAGCCTTATGTAGTGGAGGTCCTCGTCAGGGTGATGACCAACAGCTGGTGTAAATTAGCGGCCATCTTGGATGAGGAGCTTCAGTCAGTGGTACTCTTACAAGCTGTGGTTGTCGTTCAGTTGCATACCCAAGTACTTGTAGCTGAGACCATTTCTACCACAGATCCTCCTATATTCATGGGGTGGGGGGGTAGGCGTGTTTGTTCCGTCTGAAATCCACAACCATCTCCTTCGTCTTCTTCACATTGATGTGAAGGTTGTTCTTCCTCAACCAGGTGTTCCACCTCCTGCCTGTAGCTGGACTCATCGTTGTTAATGATGCCTCTAATCACCGCTGTATCATCAGCAAACTTTACAATATGACAGCCTGGATGGGTAGGTGTGCAGTGATATGTGAGCAGAGTGAACAGGAGGGGGCTCAACACACAGCCCTGGGGAAAGCCAGTGCTGAAGGTTATGGTGGAGGAGGAGAAGTTGTGGATCCTCACAGACTGTGGTCTGTTTGTTAAGACGTCCAGAACCCAGTTGCATAAGGAGGGGCTTAGTCCTAGTGTGAGTAGTTTCCCAGCACCTCGCAGAGCTAATCGGCCCAGTCTTTCAGTGCCTTCCCGGGGATGTTGTCTGGGCCGGTTGCTTTGTGAGGATCAATCCTCCTGAAGGTACTCTTTCTTCTGCTGAGGTCACGCTGAGAAACTCCTCTTCAGGTGGTGAGGTGAGTCTGGTGCTGGGTAGTCTGTTCGGGTCTTCAAAGCGTGCATAGAACTTGTTGGTGTCACCAGGCAGTGAAAAGTCCCTAGGGCATAGTGCACCCCTGCCTTTAGAATCTGTTATACACTTAATGCCCCTCCATATGTTTCGTGGGTCTTGTGAGGAGAAATGTTCCTGGATCCTCTGTGCATATGTGGCTTTGACCCTCCTAATACCAGGAACCAGCTCTTACTTCATTCATCCTTCTCAGCTCCTGTGAATTGCCAGAACTGAAGGCAGTGTCCCTGGCTTCCAGCAGGGTGCAAACCTCTGCATTCAGCCAGGGTTTCCAGGGTATGAAGGAACACACCAGCATGAGATAATCAGCAACATGAGTTCAGCAGCATGGCTAATCAGCAGCACAGATAAGTCACATAACACCAGTTAAGGTGGCATTACAGTGATTTTTCCCCCAAGGGTGAAACGTAACTTTTGGGTTGGATAAAGGTCCCCAAGTGGCAGTCTGGATCTACCCCCGGATGGGTTGTTAAGCTTCATTTGACAAGGAGCAGCATGAGAACAGAACAGTGATTGAACAGCGTCAACTGAAGAAGTTTTCATTTTTATTTGAAATAAAATTTTAGAGTCAGGCTCAGTGTTTGGCTACACAAAGAAATGAGTCACAGCACTGTCCTGACACACACACACACACTGGTTGTGTTGTATGTGTGTGTGTGTGTGTGGGTGTGGTCATGCTGCGACTGCTCTGCTCTGTGGATTAGAGGGAAGTGAGATAACTGTAGAAGAATTCAGCACGCCTCCTCCCCTTGCTTTGTGTTAACAGCTTTGAACCAGCAGCTCTAGACCACTCTTATAAGGCGTGATGACTTGGAGTCATGCTCAAAGTAGCCTTCTTAATTGTTTAATTGGATCAGAGCTTCAACCAGATTCTTAGAACTCATAATTTGTGTAATTAGGATGATTGAGAACAGCGTGAGTAATGGCAGTCAGCTGTGGAGGGTTTTATTTATCTGGGAGGGGGTCGAATGGATCGGCTTGTTTATGCAGACAGCTGATGGAAACTGGGCCACAGACCAGGTCCCTGCAGCTCTCTGCAGTTTAATGGACAGATGTGTCTTCAGGGACACTAGAGGCCAACAGTAAATGACTGTTGGTGAGGCTGCTCCTGAGTCCTGAGTAGGAGAATAATACATAAACTGTGAATTTGGTCTGATCAATCCAAGGCCGTCGTCACCTTTAAACCCTCACCATATGCCGAGAAACGACAGTTTTAGCCACTGCACAGCTGTGGATGAGTGGTTAGAGTGGTCGTCCTCCAATGGGAGAGTTGGGGGTTCGATTCCACCAGCAGTCAGATCTCTTAGTGTTCCTGGGCAAGACAATGAACGCCTCTGATGTGTGTCCCGTTGGTGTATGAAGGTGAAACATTTGATCTGATTTTATCCTCAAATGGTGTCCCCATTGAGTTTGTTGATTCCTATAAATATTTGGGTATCTTGGTCGACTCACATCTCTCTTTTAAGCTCCATGTGGAAAACTTGGTAAAGAAACTGGAAGTTAAACTGGGTTTCTTTTTCAGAAACAGATCCTGTCTAACCCTGAACCCTGAGGAACACCTTGTATCTGTGACTTTCCTTCCCTCCATTGATTATGGTGACATTATTTACATGAACGCTCCTACAAGAACCCTGCAGATGTTGGATGCTGCAGATGTTGGATGCTGTCTATCGTGGTGCACTAAGATTCATAACTGGCTGTGATTATCATACCCACCACTGCACCCAGTATCCACTGGTTAACTGGTCACCATTAACTTCACACAGACTCTCTCACTGGTACATCTTCATCTTTAACTCACTTCCTGGTCTGCTGCCTTCATACATCTCCTCCTACATGTCTCTGTGTGAGTGCAGCTACAGCGTGCGCTCTCAGGACATCATTACCTGCAGTGTTCCCTCAGTGAAGACTGAACTAGACAAAAGGACCTTCTCCTACTCCGCTCCTGTTTCCTGGAATATCTTGTAAAAAGACCTGAAGCTCTCGACCTTTGACCTCTCTAAGTCTGAATCTGTTGGACTCCTGGCAGGGTCCAATGCAGACATGTTCCTGTTTTTAGTTTCTACATTCACCTTAGAATCTAGCTGTTTTTTTGTTACTTTTCTTTTCTTTTTTTAGCCATCCTATTTGTAAAAAAAAAAAAAATCTGTATGACTTTTTATAACTGTCCATTGTTCTTCATCTTTCTTTGTTGAAATCAGGTCTCTCTTGTAAATGAGTCCTCGAGGCTCAATGGGATTTACCTGTAGAAATAAAGGTTGAATGAATGAATGAATGTCAAACTGGTTCAAAACCAAAAAAAAGTCCATGCTCAATAATCCAGGTATACAATCCAACAATTTTCAGTCTGGTCATGTGGGAGAAGAATCAGTTTTGTGTTGTATGTTTCCTTGACTGATGAAGCCTTCTGGATGGAAGGTGAAACGTTTCAGCAAAACAAGAAACTGTCCAGATGACCTGACTGAAAATTGTTGGATTGTATACCTGGATTATTGCGCATGGACTTTTTTTGGTTTTGAATCAGTTTGACATGACTGTCGACGAGGAAGAGGGCCGGCAAGAGAGGGGGCGTGCCAAAGACACCATCTTAGCACCAACATAACTGGTTTGTTCCACTTTGGAGTAAGCTGTTTGGGGGAAGAATCAGTTTTGTGTTATGTTTTTCCTTGACTGATGAAGCCTTCTGGATGGAAGGTGAAACGTTTCAGCAAAAAACAAGAAACTGTCCAGATGACCTGACTGAAAATAGTTGGATGTGAGCAGCTGGTTCTTGTTGTCAGCAGCAAACTGGTTGATCCACTCTGAGAAGGTGCTATTTAAGAGACCGAGCTGAATACAGCACCTCAGACTGAAGAAGTCCTCAGGATGAGAGACGAAACGTTTCTAGAATTTTTTTGTTTTGTTTTGTTTTTTGAATGCCCAGAGGACCAGACTTAACTTTTTTTTTTTTAGAAGTTTCTACCTGGATTATTGAGCATGCATCAAGATATTTTTCTCCAGTACTTCTTCACATAGGACCACTTTAACCCTGAGCCACAGCCATTCAGAGACAACTCTGGACACAAACAGTGGGACCGTGTAACGCGTGTGGCATTCGTTTACACCGATGACTAATGACCACACAAACCACACGTAACAGGAAACAGGTGGGCAGAAGAAGTGTTCCTAACTGTAGCAGGTCGTGGCTCTCAAACAGCTTTACCGTCACAAAGGAGTGGAAAAGTTCTGCCGAAGATAAAAGCTGACAAAGGTTTGATTGGAGGACCACGCATCCACAGAGTGAATGATGACTCCCAGCTTGAACCCAGGATTAGAGGGAGAACTCTTTCAAAGAATGACTGTTTCAGGCTGAATGTGATGAACTAACTGGGCTTTTCCTCAAAGTGCCAGATGTGTCTTCTCTTTGGAAGACAAGAAAGCAGCTGCATTCCCAGGGTGATAATTAAGAGTTTCTACTCTGAGAAATGGTGGCCTACTTCTTTTATCCAGAGGGATTTCCTTCTCTTTGCTCTGTGCTATGCATTTGAGGCCAGCTTTAACAATAATAATAAAAAACTCATGCTTTTACATAATATTGCACATTGACACCTACAGCTGAATCCAGATATTTCCGTACATGTAAATAGATACATACTCTTACATACATTCTCTTTACTCTTTACTTTATATATGCTTCCATTAGGTAAAGTTATTAAACAGCATGGGATAAATTTTCATTGTTATGCAGATGACACACAATTATATTTGTCCATTAAACCCAATGAATCCAATCAGCTACTTAGACTACAAGCATGTCTTAAAGACATAAAAACCTGGATGACCCTTAATTTTCTCCTGTTGAACAGACAAGACTGAGGTTTTAGTTTTTGGACCTGAGCACCTTAGGAATGAATGTTTCAGTTTTTCTCCCTCCTTAGATGCATTAATCTGTCCTCCAGCTCTAATGTTAAAAATCTGGGTGTTATTTTTGATCAGGACATGTCTTTTATCCCCCACATTAAAAACGTTACTAGAACCTCCTTCTTCCACCTGCGTAATATCACTAACATTAGAAACATCTGATCTAAAGATGATGCAGAAAAACTGCTCCATGCATTTGTCACGTCTAGACTGGACTATTGCAATGGT